CACAAACTGAAGTTCTTCAACATGGTGCATGTCTTGGCCTTGGGGCTGCTGGAATGGCAACTGGAAATGAAGGTATGAACACATATTATTTTCATTGTCATTTACCACATTTATCTTGACATATATATAATTAATTTTTTTTTAGAAATATATGAGGAACTTAAGGGAATATTGTTTAGTGATAGTGCAGTAGCAGGTGAAGCTGCGGGTTTAGCTATGGGTTTAGTGATGCTCGGTACTGCCAATGAGAAAGCAATTGATGAAATGTTACAATATGCTAATGATACTCAACACGAGAAGATCTTGAGAGGTTTGGCTATTGGCATTGCTTTAATTATGTATGGAAAAGAAGAAGCTGCAGATTCTTTGATTGAACAACTTATTAGTAATAAGGTACAATAAAAATATTGTTGTTGTAATGTTAATAATAATTAAATAAATGGTAATTAAACAATTAAATAAATGATAACTAAACAATTCTTAATTAATAAAAAAAATGAACATACATCATCACATCTTGAAATAAGATCTTTTAATAACTTTGCTGCAGATAAAGGATCATTAAGATGGACAAAACATTGACTAATTGATATGTAATCAGGTTCATTTAAATTCTGATAAAGTTTTACCATTAATTGCAAGACCTAAAATAATTTATAATTATAGATATATATATATATATATATAGCATCAATATAAATAATAACATACACAAAATAACATGTAATCCATAATACATATAATTAATTAATTGCTTACTTTATTTCTAAAGTCCAAATTAAGCACCAATGTCATACACGAATCTAAAACATATGAGAGAAGCTCTGATGCTTGTTGACCTTTTAATATTGCATGTTCAATAACATCCAAACGATGAGACTCCAAAGCTATACCGATTGCCTATTTTATCATTATTAATATTGCGAAATGCGTATATATAAATGAATAATAATAAATAATAAATCAATAATTTACTTGTTTGAATTCGTCATCACTAAAACATCTTTGAAACATTCTTTCAACAACAACTTCTAAACGAGGATCAATTACAATTTCTTCCGAAGGATTTTCATATTGTCGAGTACGTAGACTGATGTATTTATCTATACATTTTGCTGGTTGATTTTAATCAATCGATCAATCAATCGAACAAAAGGAATAACGTTATTCACGGGATAAACAAATATGATCAAAAGATGCTTCAAGAGAGAGAGAAAACACTATGATAACTTACAAATAATTGTTTCGACATATTCAGATTTAGATGACGTATCAAACAATTCACCAGCTCCCAATGCAAACGTTAAAGAGTCATCGAATTCGCCTAGATGATAGTAGACCTAAATAATAACAACAGCATCAACAATATTATTATTATTATTATTATTATTATTATTATTATTATTATTATTAATCAACTAATTAAAGGATGAATGAATTAAATTTGTATAATTACTTTTGAGGCCACCAAAGCAGATAATTTTCTTTGAGGAAAGCATTCATCTTCATAAAGGATTTCGCTAATCAAGACAAGACATTTGGTTCCCAAGAGAGAAGTGAGACCTTTATTCTTCCAAATGAAAATTGCATTACCGCAATTTTTTTAACAGTTATAAGCAGATCAAACTGATGCAATTATTTATTCTGGGGGGATAACAATGATTCTAACTCTAGCATGATTGATTTTGCCATGACTATCTTTTGGGACAATTTACACATGTATTACATCTATCCACTATTATAATGGTAATTGTAAAAGACTTACATTTTAGAAATTGCCTCTGAAATTTCAGCCCAAAATTGATCAACAACAGAATTAAGTCTTTGAAGTGCATAAATTTTAAGTTGTTCTTCTGATTCATCAAGCAAAGAAATGATTCCACCTTGATTTTTTTTTACAAAAAGATTTTTTTGAATTATTAAAAAAAAATTTTTTTTGATATTTTTATCAAATTTCTGCTTACCTGCAGAAGTCAAACCAACCATGATTGTTGTATCGACAATGGATGGATTCAAATACTAATATTTAATTATTTTTCAATATAGAATAAAGATTTTTTTTTTACGTGTATTTTTTTTTTTTTTTTTTTAATAACTTATATTTATTACGTATGCAATTTTTATATATATATATAGTGTGATATAGTGATGTAGTGTAAGTTACACATACATTTCGATAACAATAAATATGAATTTTCGTAAATTACAAACAAATCTCAATACAATAACAAATAGTCACAACGTCTACTCTGTTTTTTAACTAAACCGTATCTCTCTATATCAGTTTGACACAATCATTAGGAATAATTTCACCCTTCCTTTTTTCAAGCTCATCCTATGAATTTTCTAAATCTTGAAACTATTGTGGCCTATCGACTCGCATAAATTACTCAACCTTCCTTGCTCGATCTGCTTGATGGAGCCAAGAATTGTCATACTCTACATCAGAAAAATGGGTACAAATATTATGCGTATATAATACACAATTGCAGGGATTAAGCATATAATATGCATACAAATCGTGTATTTTTTTATGTATGCAAATTGTACATATATTATATGCTTAATCCCTGCAATTGCGTATTAAATATGCATAATATTTGTACCCATTTTCCTGATGTATATGCTTATTAATCCTATTTTCTGTAATACAAGCTTACTAATCGTTAATTACTAATGCTATGAGTCATTATTACAAATAATTGAATTAATAATTAAAAGTAAATAATTATGTCATAAAATAAGTTAAAAATAGTAATGATGTGATGATATACATGTGTAACATGACGCAGTATGTGGTGTAGTTGTTACACAAAATATTAAGATAAAATCAGAAAATGATACCATTATCACGTGACTGCCACAGTAAGTTGGTTCCGATTGATCGACATGCTCGGGACTTCCTCAGTCCTCATTTACAATCTCACAATATATTTATTTCTTTTTCCAAAGGTTGTAAAGGTCGAACGATCCAACAATCTGACAGTGTACAATCCATTATGCAATCATTTTTTTTATTATTAATTATTTATTTTTAATGAATTTAATTATCAGATCATTTGGAATAAGTTAAATATTAACAAAATATATTTATAATAATAATTTTATTTTTTTTATTACCAACTTGTATCCATGGCATTATGATTATTGCCACTACCACCATCATTACCACCACCACTACCACCATTACTATCACTACCACTACTATCATTACCACCACTAACACCATTATTACTGGACCCGGACACTTTACCGACACCCACTTTACTGAAAAGACACTTTATCAACAGGACACTTCACCAACAGGACACTTCACCAACAGGACACTTCACCAACAGGACACTTTACCAACAGGACACTTCACTGACAGGACACTTCACCGACATGACACTTTACCAACAAGATATTTTACCAACAGGACTTTACCAACAGGACACTTTACCAACAGGACACTTTACCAACAAGCATTGTGTTAACAATTTGCCAAGGACTGTGTGAAGACCTGGATAACTAGCTAAAAGTTTGGTTTTTTACAGACAAGTTAAATTAACTGTTAATTAACTAATAACATAACTTATTATCCATACTTTGGATCAAAAACCAGATACATGCGCAATATTTTTTTTTTGTCTAAAAAAATTGATATTCATTGTTTTTATTAAATTTATTTATTATATTTAATTGATTTTACAAAAAAATTTTTATTGTGATACATTGATTAATTATTATTATTATACACAAAATTTTTTTTAAAAACAAAAAAAAATTTTAAAATGAAATATTATGGGCAATGCACTGAAGAAACTCCATAGTTGATCTAATGTTACAGTTGTTACAGTTGTTATGGTCATTCAATACTGTTTGAATCTGTATTTCGTGGTTACGATCTTGTAGTTTCTGTGGAGGTCATGGTGTTCCTTGCAAGACCATTTCCATGTCAAGTTTGACTTTACTTTGTTCCTTTTGCATCTCTTTTATTATTTCAAAAAGACCTACATGGTCACGACCTACTAATACCTCCCATCTTCTATGCCAAGCTTCTACAGAATTTGTAGTGCGAGGAAGAGCATATTCAACATTGTTAGCAACTGACCAGAGGTATGGTGGAAACATTGGTGTATCTTGAACAATAGTTCCATTTCTAAATGCATGTCTTGCCCTGCCATGCACATAATTATCTTCAAACCACTATACAACTCCAACAGCTTCTGCTGGAATCTCATCTTTTAGCCGATCAAATGCTGCAGGGATGTCAGCAGGATTCAAAAAAGCAAGCACTGGAATTTGTCGAATCACTAGACTGAAATTTTCATCAGTCCCATATTGAATAGCAAGACCTGTAGCTTGTATTTTGCGATAGACACTTTGAGCTAAGTGAAAAAGACATCCTTATTTTGAGCACTTGGAAATTTTATACACAAAGCATTAATTGCAGCTTGTTCAAAATCTGTTAGAATGAATCGTGGTTGTAGGTGGATATCCTGCTCATTACTGAAGTCAATTAAATCTTGAAATAGTCTTTTGTAGCATTCTTGAGACTTGCTAGACATTAATTCATAAACAAGAGGCATGATCCGTGAATTTTCATCACCCCCAACACATGCATGGATAGTGTATAATTGTCTAAATAGAGTTAGAACTGTTTTGAAAGTGCCATCCATAATCCAAAGACAAGATTGTTCCAGATTACGAATGTTGGTAACAGTTGTAAAAAGCAGAATTCTATTTTCACCTATTGTAGAATCCTTAACTAAAAAGTTTACTCCATCTAAAGTCACCTTCATGTTTTCAGGAATAGTAATATCCTCTATAGACTCTGGCTCTGAAGGGAAATCAGTATTACGAATTCATCTGATTGATTTATGAAGTGCTTCATTTGATGGAAGGGATGTATATACTTCTTGAGAATTAGCAGTATTAGAAATTGTGCTTTGGATAATTTGTGAGGGTAGGTCATCAGCCTCTCTAGCCTTTCCTTTTATTGTATTAATGGTCTTTATGGTCCCAAATCGACTAGCTTCTGGAGCATGATTATGGTCAGAAGTATCTTGAAGATAATGTTGCTCCCTATCCAATATAGTAGTTGCTCGACCATTGCATTTTAGGGCACTATGCTTCTCACAACACCAGTAAAATTTATTATCACGATTTTTGTCTTTAACCATAAGGTAACCATTAACATTAATTTTGATTCCACCACAAAGAGAAGGAACAATTTCACAGATAGTGTTGTCCATTTAAAAAATGTTAAGAGGTTAAGAGAATAAAAATAAATAGAGTGTTATGTGATAATGCAATAAGTGTGTTTTTCAAGTCATTGCAAATTATGGCTATAATTATATATCTTTTTGGTTCTTTAAAACCCATCTTTGTACTAAGTAGGTTTTTGCCAAATTCCTTTATATTACAAATTAAAAATTTTGGAAATAACAAACACATTTCTTAAATAAGATGTATTGTATACTCTTTCCAAGTAGCAAGTGATTGGTAACAATAATTTATTGTTGATTTTAAATTTTTAAAATCCATCTTTGTTCAAAGTAGGTTTTTGCCAAATTCCTTTATATTATAAATTAAAAATTTTGGAAATAACAAACACAT